GTCCCGACCCAAGGGGCCCTCCCCCATGCCCGGGGCTCCTGCCCATTGGTTCGGGCTGGGGGGCTCCAGCTTCCCGCGTGCCCACCTCAAAGCCGGTGCAGACAGAGGAAACCAAAGCAGAACTTGCCAGAGCGTGGGTTTCCCCTCCAGCCAGGTGCCCCCTCCCAGCCAGGGCCCCGGGGTTTCCTCACCGACGTTCCCTCGCTCGTCCTCGCGGAGCTGGATGTCGCGGCTGGCGGTGCCCACCTCCAGCAGGTCCCGGAACTCCTCCTTGTACACTTCCAGGTAGGACACGCGCACCAGGCAGTCCAGCAGGTCGTTCTCATCGATGAGCTTGAAGGCCTCGGCCATGACGCGCGGGATGATGCCCTGCTGGTCCTCGTGGAGGGAGGCTGGGGAGACACGCGGGGCTCCTGCCACGTGCCGCCAGCTGGGTCTCCGAGGCCCGCCCCCCGTGCGCCCCCAGCAGCTGGAGGATGGGGCTCCAGGTGGAGAAAGCGGCAGCCGGAGCCAGGCCCAGCGCCAGGGTGGTCAGGCGGAACCCTAAAATTTCAGAGTTGGAAGCTTCCTCTCAGAGGTGAGCCAACCCCTTTCATGATATGAGCACCGCCCCCTACGTTCCTGCTGGGTCACCAGACACCCTTGCTTGATTACCCCCTGGGACAGGGAGCTCATTACCACAGTCTATGCTCAGTTACCTAAAGTACCTCCTGTATTTATCGCAAAGTAATAAGAGGGTGTTCAGAGCAGCACTCGTCTTCATAACTTAAAAAAAAAAAAAACATCCGAAGCATCCATTTCAAGATCCACAGGGGCTCTGGTTACATAAATTACCGTACCTTATAGTCACAATGGAATGCCAGGCAGCCATGAAAAAAATCAGATTGAAAAATAATGATGTAAAGACCTGTTCATGATATTTGTTAAGAAAATAAAACAGGATGTCAAAGGTTGGGTACAACGTTTTCTTTAAAAGGATAGTCAATTCCGAAGAGAAAGAAACTGGAACCCTAACAGGATGCGTGATTTCTGAAAGGCAGTTTTATTTTTGTGTGTTTTTCTGAATTTTCCTAAATTCTTTATGACAAACATATACTTATATAACCGAAGAGAAAACACTTGTATGACCTAAAATGGGGCAGTTCCGGCCCTGGTTGGTTTGGCTCAGGGGATAGAGCACCAGCCTGCGGACTGAAGGGTCCCGGGTTGGATTCGGGTCAAGGGAACATGCCGGGGGTTGTCAGCTCTATCCCCAGTAGGGGGCGTGCAGGAGGCAGCT